ACCGAGATATAAAAAAACAAACATTATTCCCACTTCTGAATCGAACTCGTGTATCCTTGCAACAGCCTCGTTTGCTTTCAACTTTACAAGTGACAGCTGGAACTGATGTTCATCAAGGCTCTCTCAATTCAATCATCCCAGATACTACCAGGGTCCCGACCAAATCCTGGAAATTTTTTTCAAGACCCCCACATTTTTTCAAGACCCCAATTTGAGGAAATAATGCCGCTGCGCGTCAAGAATGACCCCTCCCACAAAAGCCCATCTATCAATGATAAAAAATCTAAATGTCTTTAAATGAATACACATGTACATTTTGTAATAATATAGTCCTCAAACAAAAGATGAAAATAATAGCCTACTGGGTGAGTGCCAACCCAGCTTCTCAATTTACCGGGTTGGGGGGGGGGGAGAGGTGGGGTTCATCCATTTCCAGGGTCGTGTTACATAACAATGACGGTGACAGCACGTGCTCCATTTATATCTAATATATATGTTTGTGAATACACACACACACACACACACACACACACACACACACACACACACACACACACACATACACACACACACACACACATACACTCTCTCACTCACACACACACACAGACACACACACACACACACACACATATAGGTAGTAGGTATCCAGTCAACAACATGTCAATGTGGCACTGGGATCTGGTGTGACTTAAGTACATGTATTTCAGTCTGTTCTTACTTATTTATATTTTCCCCTCATCATATTAGCCTACATAAACTGATAAACTATATAAAAAATGAATCCTGTTCTGTGCCTGAGAAAAGACTTAGAACCAGAATATCGACTGTCAATAACCAGTCTGGGTGTCATGATTCATATAATAAACGTGAAGACGAAGAAGACGAAAACTAAGTAGAGCAATAACTTGAGTGGCTAAGGTAGACCTATTCAGTGTGAGAGGTGTAAGAACTGAAGGAGGGCAAGATGCGGAGACACTGAAAATCTGCCAATCTTGAACAAAAAGCTAACATATAAATATAAATTACTATCACTATCACTCCATCCAATGAAACGCAAACACTTTACTTCAATCACAAGGCTTCCCATTCCACACAAGGCCTGCACCAACGCGCGCTTTGCACATAGCCCTTATAGATCTAGTAGTTATCAAAATTCTAAATACAAAAAATTTGCATCCAAGTCCAAGTTCAGTTTTTGTCCTTTAGTGTTGCCTTCAGCCCCCCTCCCCTTCCCCGAGTGTATCTTCCAGAGTCCTATACTTCACAGCGCTCAGACCGCCGGTACTCACACGATGCCTTATCATGCGATGCGAACGTACAGGTTCACTGACCGGTCACGATAGCGAGCAGACAAGACGCTTGTATGCCTTTCTTTTCTTTTTTTTTTTTTCCACAAGTGACAGCACGGGACAAAATATTGATTATTTTCATTGCGACACGGCGTTTGAAATGCACAACCTGTATGTTTCAAATGTTGCGTTATCTATCAGACTATTATTACGGGAAATTTTCTAGGTGGTAACGAAAGCAAAAGTAGATCTTGATTCTTCTCGATCGAGCCTCGGTGTCACACATACACTTCCGCCTGACGCCATAGCGGTTCAATTATGTTTTATCTTCATGATTCATCAACCATACTGTCTAGATAGCCACACTACTAATATTACACGGGCTCTATCCTTCTGTCCCCGTCGTTTTATGCAAGAAAAATTCTCAAATTATACAAACTGAGCCCAAAAAAAGTGAAATTATGCGATTCTGTGAATTTTAACAAAGATTGGTAAAGGAAAATAATCAGAAATTATGCGAAAAATGATCAAATTTTGTTAAATTATGCGGGGTGCATAAAACCACGGAGATAGACCCTTTCCCGACTTCCCGACCCATCACAAAATTTCCGACTTTTCCCCGACCCTTTAGTACATTTTTATCTCTTCAGATCTGAGCTAACAACACACCAAAATAAGCCGGATGAAACCATACAAGACCAAGCCACTTGAACAAGTACAATGTAGTAGTGTGAGTATGATGTAGAGTACAGTGGAATCCTGTTATAACGAGAGAGAGGGGACCGGAGCAAAATGTCCATTATACAGTGGAATCCTGTTATAACGAGAGGGAGGGGACGGGGGCAAAATGTCTGTTATACAGTGGAATCCTGTTATAACGAGAGGGAGGGAACCGGGGCAAAATGTCTGTTATACAGTGGAATCCTGTTATAACGAGAGGGAGGGGACCGGAGCAAAATGTCCGTTATACAGTGGAATCCTGTTATAACGAGAGGGAGGGGACCGCAGCAAAATGTCCGTTATAGCAGGATCCTCGCTATAAGGGATCCAGTAATAAATGAAAGGGAAACTGTAAAGTAGGCCTAATCTATGAGTTTGGTGTTCTGTTTATTTCCTTTTGCTATCTCCCCTGATGATGATTTTGTTTCAACATGACCTCTAGGTCTTACTTGATCAAAAATCGAATCAGGTTTCTTTCTCAAGCGATGTCGACTGACAGCTCGGCGTTGGCGATCAGAAAGAAAGGGCTCTGGTCTAACTCACCCGCTGCATTTTCCCCCACCTCACCACACCCTGTGGTGCATTCCATCAGCTTGCGCACGTCAGACATTCACTCCATCCATCACATTGCTGTGACCTCTCTATCCCTGCATCGGAGAAGTGAGAGGCATGGTTGGCCTTGATAATCTAAACTAAGCTTACGCTGACCTATCAAGTGATGCGTTCTGTTTGTCTGCGCATGCCACACCCTCCCTACTCAGTGGCTCCGGCCTTCATTGTTACACACACGGGCTCTCCCATTCTTTGTTTAGCTAGATCACTAACTAGTTTCTCAACTGGTGAGGTTTTACATTATGTATAATTGGCCAATGCACTGTGCACAGCAGCAGCAATATTCTGCTATAACCGACTGGCGTGATTGCGCTATAGCAGTATTTTATTTACAAAGGTAAAGAAGAGAAAAAAACAACGGGGTTTTAGAATAGCGTCTTTATATTAACAGACTTCTCGTTTTTTCCGGACTCGTTATAAGTGGACTCCACTGTATGTCTATAATGCTACACTGACATTAGTGCAAGCCAGAACAAAAATCGTACTCAGAAAGAATGGATGGTTGGCAGATGCTCTGGTGGGGTTTACTTCTTTTTTTTTCCTATCAAACATCTAGACTCCTTATCTCCTCTCCTTTTTTGAAGTGTTTGTTACCCCCGTGTTACACCTCCAAAATGTACATAATTTAAATAATCTGTTCTCAGCCTAGCTTTTAGCAGTCTGTGCTACGGGGAGATAACTGTTATTTTTAGTTTTTAGGCCAAAAAATAATACACTGTATATGGTCCACTTTAACTGCGTTAAGTTTAGGCCAAGAATATGTGGTTTATTTTTTTTCTTTCTTTCTTTCTCTCCCCCCCCCCAAAAAAAAACAACAACAACCAACAACACATTTTAGAGCATCATGGTTGACCCCCCCCCCCGCCCCCCCACCCCCAATGTCAACTTTTGACGAACACTCCCCCCCCCCCCCCTCTCTCTGAACTGACGTCATTTGTGAACGGTCCCATATATTGATTTTGTGGTGCAAGTGTCATAGGACTTTTACTAAACCTAACATCGGAAAGACTGTTTAAATAGACTCTTTTTGATGTTTAGTTTTAATAAGAGTTTTACGGCACTTGCAACACAATAAGGTCATACAAATGCCGAAGATTAGATGTGTTACAAGAAAGTAAAAAGTAAAGTTGTTCCCGCATCCGATCCGGACATTGGGGATTGCCTTGTCAGAGAGACAACTTTCTGGGCCTTCGGCATATTGTGGTAGGGTGGCCAGATCTTTTCCACGCCGCTTTTACTTCCCGAACTCGAGGTCAGGTACACATGTATCCATTACTGCTGGGTGGGCAGGAGGGGGCGAACAAATCCTTGTCCGAACCGAGGCTCGATCCCGGACCACCCGCTTCGGAGACGAGCACACTAACGACTCCGCCACCACACAAGAGAGTAACATACACAAAAAAGAAGGAGAGATCAGGACGATAGATGTTTGATATAGGAAAGAAGGAGCTAACCACACCACAGCACCCGTGAACCACCCACTAGTACACCCCTCAGTCAGTTTTATTTTACAACAAGTTTTACAGTACTTGTGACACAAAGGTCGTTAAGTACGGAAGTCTATTAGATGTGTTACAAATACTTGCTAAAGAAAGAAATGAGATAAGGCCGATACACTTTTGATAAGAGAAGAAGCACATCACACCAGAGCACCAACCATCCACGAGGCTACACATTACACATGAGTGGGGACCAAAACAGTTTAGTTTTAGTTTTAGTAAGTTGCAACCACCCACAGCCTCCCCCCCCCCCAAAAAAAAAATCTACACAACCCAGAAAAAACTTTTTAATAGACCCTAGCTCGGAGCAAGACATCCCGCAATTGGGCAAGAAAAATTCATGTCCTTGTGATGATTTGAAACAGCCCTTAGTTCTACTCAATATCCTTTTTCTCACAGACCAGACATGCCCCCTCCCCCAATTTACGGGTAAATCATGTAAAATCCAAGGTATCAGTATTTCTACACCCCTTTCGAAACAAGAAGAATCACAGAAATTGATGTACAGAAAAGAGGGAAGACATGGAATAACATCAAGTGGCTTGCCTAGGATAGAGAAAGGCGGAAGGTGTTTGTCCGTGGCCTATACCCTGGCACAGGGCGAGAAAGGCCATGATGATGATGATGGAAACAAACTAAATCAATAGGAGGTGGGTATCCAACCCCATATATGTATGATGGGCCAACTCGGGCTGAGAGGAATAAAACATTCTAGAGATACTCCATAAAAATTTTCCCTCTCGGAAATCAAAAGTGGATCTCCTGCATGCAACAGCAAAGCGCTTAACAGCTAAACCACAGATGCTGATGGTACGGCACACGAAAAACAAGACAACACAATGTACAACAAGGAACACAACGAAGAGAAACACACCAGTGTCAAGATACATGTAGTTTTTTTTTTATTGGTGAGCCTGTTTATTCTCAGGAAGGTCGCCTGCCCAGTACACACTTCGACTTTGACGCCCAATCTTTCTCCGCTGGGTGCACATTAAAGTGAGCAGTGCGACTCTTCCATCCCAGAACATAAACCACTAATACAAGACATTAGTTAATACAAAAATATGCAACAAAGTGTACATATGCCAATATCAGTGAGAAAACATTTACTTGTGAAATCGTGTCATTGTCAGTGTGAGCAAAACATAATAGAGCATCCAAAGCTAACGATGTTGAATGATGAAAAATGTTCCCATTTTCTACTTTGAGGTTCGCCACAAACATACATGATGTACCGCCTGGAACCACACAAACAAACCTACATGATGTACTAACCGGAACCACGTATACATAAATGATGTACTAACCGGAACCACACATAGAGTACCACATGTTCTTATTGCTGTCTCGAGACATACTAATCTCCTGAATTTGTCCCTACTTATACCTTGCTTCCCCTATGTAGGTCAAGGAAGGGGTAGAGGACTCGATGTTTCCTACAGGTCAATGACAACACTCCTGTAGTAACTGTTTATGAGCCATTACAGCCACACAAGATCAAACCTTTGCATCGTGCTAAAAAACACTGAACACACAAGACAAATATTGTTGTTGTTGTTTTTTTTCTTTAATCACTGTTTTTTTTCATGTCCCCAATCCTCACAATTTAGATCATTTAGGGGACAGGTTACCGACCCTGCCTGTCTGGGTCACCATGGGTTGAGAGGGATACAACACATCCGATCAGACAGAAACTCAATTATACTTCTTCCCACTCCAGAATCGAACTCGGGTCGCTTGCGTGTAGGTCATGGAACGGAACTAACTGTTTCATAGAGGCAAATGAGAAAATTCAAGCGGTAATTGTTCATTTGTCATCACAGCTACATGGTCCAAGCCATGATAAAAAGCTCTGCGCGCTCTGGTACAAAACACTATATACACAAGACAAAAAATTCAACTGCGTAGAAAGGTTACAAATAAAAAAGAGAAAAACTTCAAATGATACAATTTGAAATACATAAGAGCTAGAAATTAAAAATTTTTGATTTTTTAAATTCTTGAAATCATGACAAAATAGGAGAGAAATGTCCATTTAGAACTAATTTTCTAATGAAATGAATAGTTTAAGTGACAGAATATACGAACAAGTAACCTTTCAGTCCACTGGACCAAATACAAACATTTACATGTATTTCTATGCAAAGCAGGAAAGAATCAAAAGGTCTGTTTTTCCTAATATTTGACTGACTGACTTGTAAATGGGCTTGATCTCTCTTCTCACTAGATGACATGTGGCAGCACTGCACACAGGTGAACACATCACCAGTTCCTGTCGCGCCACACCACATGTCTTCACCAGAGTTGTCTGTTTACAGTTGTACGCTGAAACTCACTTTATGAGTCCTCATCACATTGAAAATTAAAAAATAATAGGGCCATACAAGATGCCTTTGCTCACGTTTTCTGTTCACCCGAGTTGTAGGAGGTTGAAACTCACTTTCAATCAAAGTCTTCATTAAAAATATTTTTAAAAATTACTCTATCCTTAGGTTCTGGCAAAAAACAGATTTCATCAAGAGGTCATTTTCATATTCCCAGAAAAACGAGAAACAATGTTATGACAAAATATTCAACAACTTTCATTATCAAATACAAGACCTATCGGTAACATACTGCCCAAAGGGACTCTTGCACACAAACACAAATATTGAATAGAGAAATCTCTTGAGAAAATTCCTGAAAAAAAAAGTAGAATCTAATAACATGTAAAGCTTCAGTTGACAAAAAATAAATAAATTCCCATCACATTATTTTCCCATTTCCCTGAAAGAACATCATCACCATACATGTCGACTGACTAGTGTAAGACTGCCCTACGCATTTTGAAAAAAAACACGTTCGACAAACTCTTACACTGAGCAGCTGATCTAATGCTGTGCTTAAACTTTTTTAAAAGGCTTCAGTCTCATACAAATAGTTTGTAAACTGACTTACAATCTTGAAGCCAAACGCTGAGGAATCCAATAATTATCCAACAAATAGAACAAAAATAAAATATTATTATCAATGCTTACAATATCAGTGACTCTTGTGAAAGTGGAGAGTCATTCAGATTGACGGTAAACTCAGAGGTTCAGGAGAATACATTTTTCTCTAAATGTAGCTGGATTGCTAACAACAACTCTAAATGTAGCTGCTTTTACACCCACAATGACACCCTGCCAACCCAGGCTGAGAGGGAAACAGCAGAAAGACCGAAATACTTAATAAAATTTCTCCCCACTTGTGAATCGAAATCGGGTCTCCTGCAAGAAACAGCGAAACGCCAAACTGTCACACTACAGACGCCGGTAGAGAAGACGTATGAAAGCAAATTTACCTCAAAGAATTCTTTGAGCAAACACTTCAAAGCATACAAGAGCACAGAAGAAGTCTAGGTGTTTCTGACCTCGTATCCTGAGCTGTTCTTGTAGATTTTTGTTGTCAATGAACCAGTGGTAAGTGGACAGAACATCTAGCAGAAAGGAACTACTGTCCGTCAGATAAAGTTTTTGTTAATACTATCATAGTAAGAAACAAATAATAAGAAAACAAGAGATCTGAAAAGGCAGTGAACGCAAGCTATAAAGAGAAAAGACTGTGCAAACTTGAGAAAAACTTATTCTTCCTCTTTCAAAAACGACTAGCAGAGCACTGGAAAAAATACTTCCAGTCTTTTTTTGCATTGGTGCATAGTCACTAAACAGAATTAGCAGTGACACAACTCACATGAAATAATATATTCTAAGTCTAGGAACAAACAGAAGCTGTTGCATTTGCAGCCAGCATAAGTAAACAAAGCCACACAATGTGTGTATCTGACACACCCACAAGCACTGGATAAGCAGTAACAAAAAAAATACAACAACCCAAGAAAACGTGCCCCCTGAACCTTTCAACAGTTAACTATGGATGAGTTGATGTCCTTGGGGGAGTGGAAAAAAAATCAACTCATCTCAAGTTCCTACTAAACCGTTGGGATCTGTATAGAGGAAGAGGAGGTGGGACCCGAGATAAAGATCAACTTAACCAAAGATCAACTCAAGCTAGTTCAACACAACCAGAGTCGACCGTATATTATTTTTAACTCAGGGGGTCAAAGTTTCCACAAATCTTAGTTCACGGTGGTGGCTCTCAAACTTGGGGTGATATTTGATCCTGATGAGCAATGCAAACAATTCTCCAGGGAGTCAGAAAAAAGTCGATACCCAAGTCCTTCAGCTTTGCACATTGCTCTTGAAAAAGCAAGAGGAAACGGGGCAGACTTTGAACTTTAGCAAACGCCTGGTGTGTATAAACAGTTACAGTCACACAAATAAACAGTTATCAAAATGCAAAAAGTACATAAGAATAGAGAAGAAGAAAAATCATCAATGAAAAACATTTAAGCATCTATTCGTTGACACTAAGGCATAGCCGCAAAATGAAGACATCACAGAAATGGCCAGCAAACGGCCAGTATCATGCCAAATTGTCCAGACAGGTGGTACACAGAACTGACCAGACAGTTGTAACAGCAACACACAGAGGCCACGAGGGCCCTTTGGTCACTAGCACACATGAGGGGTGGGGTGGAGGGGAGCAGCCGGACAAAACACACACCGCTCACTGCAGGCCGCCTGTGACGGACAAGACATACAACATTGCACCTCAGACGAGCTTGATACGTTTGGTGCCCTCGTTGCTATCCTGTTCCATGGCGGTGCCGTTGTTGACTGGCCCCTTTGGACCCACCAGCCGCAGGAGCGGGTTGCCAGAACGGTTGCCAAACAGCGAGGTCAAAAGCGCCACTCCATAGCCAGTGGCTCGCTCACCCTGAAATACAGGGGAAAGAAAGGTAATATTTGTTTCTTGTCGAGTTTTCATAAGGGTTTTACAGCACTTTTACAACACAATTAGGTCATATAAGTGCGAAAGAGTAGAGCAGTGAAAAGGGAGTTGGGAGATTAGGATGATAGATGTTTGATAGGGCAGAAGGAGAAAACCATATCAGAGCACCCGCCAACCACTTAAACTGTTAAACAAGAAACATTCAGTTATGAACACTCAAGACTTCTTAGACTCTGAAAATATCAGGAAATGCAGCATCCCTGAAGATAATTAAACTTATATACACTTTTAGTTTTAGTAAAGAGTTTTACGGCACTTGCAACACAATAAGGTCATATAAGTGCCGAAGATTAGAGGTGTTACAAGAGAGGAACAAACACAAAATAGAAGGAGGAGAGATCAGGACGATAGACGTTTGATAGGAAAGAAGAAGCAAACCACACCAGAGCACCCGCCAACCACCCACTTATATACACTTTCAGCTCTCTTCCAGTTATCGCAGAAAGAAATACCCCCCCCCCCCCTCTTCTTCAAATGAAAGAAAAGCAACTTACAATAAAGAACTATCCTATTTTTTCTGTATGAATTTGAAAGAATATTTGATACTGTACATTGATGGCTTCTATCACTCAGTATATTTCTGTAATGTACTATTCAACTAGGTTTATCATTCATTTAGTTTAAGTAAAAGTTTTACAGCACTTGAAACAGAAACAGGTCATATGAGAGCCGAAGATAAGAGGTGTCACAAGAGAGTGCCACACAAAGAAAAGAGGGAAGAAAGACAAGGACGACAGATTATTCATAGGAAAGGAGCACACCACACCAGAGCACCCTGCCAACACCCCACTTCAGGGAGTTTACAAGAAACTTTGATTCTGTAGGATGATGGCTTCTACCAGTATTATTTCTGTACATTCTACTATCCCCCCCCCCCCCTCTCAGCTTCTCTATCTATCTATCTATCTATCTATCTACTCCACGACAACCCCCCCTCCCCCCCCCAATTCCACCTTTAAAAAATTTTTTTTTTTAGTTAGAGTTTTATGACATTTGCAACACAATAAGGTCACAAAAGTGTTGAAAATTAGAGGCGATACAAGAGAGCAACAAACACAAAACAGAAACAGGGGAGACAAGGACGATAGATGTTTGATAGGAAAGAAGGAGCAAACCACACCAGAGCATCCACCAACCACCCACTTTCCATCTTTAAAATGGAACAGACGCACAAAAAGGTAGAGAAAGACCTGAGTGACAACTTACAGTAGCGGCGGGGATGGCCATGTCAATGTGTAACCAGATTCCCTGGAAGTCGGGGCCCAGGTGCGACATGATGAAGAGGCCGGCGCACGACACCTGGGCATTGCTGCGGTCCTGTGGCACAGAGAGAGAACACTTCACAATAGCACCTGTCTTTATCTCAGAGTTTTTTAGATTTAAAACAAGTTTTAGTTAGAGTTTTATGGTACTCGCAATACAAATAGATCATATATGAGCCGAAGACGTTTTCTGAAGAGCAACATGAAAGTAAAAGAAGGAGCAGAGATAATGTTCACATCATTATGTTGAGTCCATCTGCAGGATAAACCACATACTTTAACCTACACCTGTGGGACTGTAAGATTTCCTTCTGTTCAGCTGAGTTTTCGATTTAGAGTGGTTGCTTGAAGAGAAGCAAAACAAATATTTTTTAATCGGGTATTCCATTTCTTTTAGTTTCCCTGTGAAATCATAATGTATCCTGGAAAATACTTGAGAACAGGTAAACCAAACAAGTAAAGGCCATAAAGCTATAAGTAGATTAGAAAGTCAACAGGAAGTAAAGGTTATTTGTAAAAGTGTTCGTGAAATATTTAGTAGTACAAAAAACGGGACATACGAATTGAAAAAGCAGCTAAAATTACAGCTGACCAAATTGACACGACACCACAGCACAGAATGAAACCAACAGTTAATATAATGTCATTGACACTTGGAGGGTTAACACTTCTATTATCTATTTGTGGTGGCCAAATTTTGCTATTCAAAAGGCTTTTTAATGGCTGCATCGATCGACAAGCGGTTTTCGCCTAAAGATTCTTAAAAATATTCTCCAGATCATGACGCCCTTCGTTTTTTCAGTTATGAGACAGTTTTGCTGCAAAAATTTAAATTTCTTTATTTCGCCGATAGTTTTTGTAGGCCGACGCTTCTGTCTCTGTAATTTTAGAAAATCCAGAGTGTAAGGGATATTTTAAGAGGCGCACTTTGTTTTGAGAGTATAGATCTAGATCTAGAACTTTTAATTTTTTGTATCTCTCAAAATTTATCATTCCATTCCAGTAGAGTGTAAATATAGTAGGCCAATGACTTTCAGTTGATGTTAATGCACCGATCATTCCTTTCACCGAAAGGGGGCCCAGCTTTTTATTTAGGTGGATTCCACTAAAGAAGAGCCTAAAGAGCACCAAAATGATATTAATAATAAAAATAAACAGTATTTGGGTAGCACAAATTCACACTCAAATGCAAGCTCTATGCGCTTTACAATCTATATCAACACAAAAGCACACAAATTCAAAACAAGAGTATTAAGTGCCAACTTACTGCGACAGAGTTCTTCATGTCCGCCACAGCGCTCGAGAACTCGGAGGAGTGTAGCTCGGGCGTGAAAGGCATAGGGTGCACCAGGTCGCCGCAGGCTTGACCTACTTTCACACATGTCTCCTCCAGCTTCTCGTCATTGCACACAATGCCGGCATGGTACTTGCCTGAAGGTTTGATTTTGAAGAATGGAGGAAAAGACCACTGTTCAGTCATTTGAGATCCTCGATTCCTTTAATTTTCTAAAACAATGTAAAGATTTATAGCCCTTCTAGGCATAAATAATGAAAGTCGTTTTGAAGCTTCAGCGCTAAGAATGGTCCCACACCCACAGTCCAGGCCATAAAGAAATATTCCATATTTCTAAAGAAAAATTTAGACAACACCTGTCAGTATTTTTGTCTCTCTCTGAGGGAAAACTTGGGTAACCGTGGCATTTATTATGAAAAGCATTCATTCCATATATATATTCTTACATGACATGATACAATCAAATATACATACAGTTGACACCCATTTTTTATAGAGCAACACCCATATTCTATAAACAATTTCACAACCACATCATTGCAAACCATCAAAGCAAACTCTCTTTGCAGTTGAGTTGTTTTGCCAAGGACATTTCAAAGTTTTAGTAAGAATTTTATGGCACTTGCATCCCAAATAGATCACATTAGTACCAAAGATTAGAGATATAGAGTAACATACAAACAAAAGAAAGAGAGTTACAGACGACCGATGTTTGACAAGATAGAAGGAGCAAAACCACATCAGAGCACCTGCTAACCACCCACTGCCAGGGACAGGTGACAGGGGCAACTATATAAAAAATTGTATGACACTGATAATAACTGTTCTTGTTTGTGAACCCACTTTTATTGACAACTTAAGTCTCAGCAGCAGTTCATACAGGACAATAGAAAAGTTCCCAGATTTGACAACCTCAGGGCTATAAGACAAAACCTACTTAAACCTTCAGCTCAGACCCACAATTTCCTGGTGTTTACTACGAGACTACAGGAGACAACGTTCTCACCTGTGGCAACGCCCTGAGCCCCGGTCAGTGTAGCAATGTCCACTATGATGTCACAACGTAGATCCTTTACAGCATAAGCCACCTGCGCATAAAAATGGTTTGTTTGTTTGTTTGTTTGAGTGAAGAGAAGCATATCGACACAATAATGGTCATTTAGTGCTGGGAAAAAGTGACAGACAAACAGACAAAAATAGCAAGGGGAAAGTAAGTAAGTAGGACCTAACAGTGATGCCCTCCAACCATCAGCAAAATGCAATTGGTATAGTACATAAATATTACATTTTAGTTTTTGAAACATGGTCCTAACATTTCTGCACAGTGGCTCGATATATGATTATTTCCCATTCCTAAAAGAGAGAAAGACAGCAATGGGTGGGGCCACGAAAAACAAAATGTTAGAGAAAAGACAAGAACACAAGGAATATCATGTTACTGAACAAATTGTGCAGTGGCACTAAAAGAAAGAATGAGGAAGAAAACCTTAAGTTTACTTTCCCCTTGAATTACTGTATCATTTAATGGGTTTTCAAGCTTCTGATGTGAATCTAAGGTTTGCCAACTGTTTCAAAACCCAACCAGGGACACCCAACGCTATAACATCAGATTACGCTACAACGAACAAAATTCCATCAAGTGGAATGGTTTTGGTGAAGTGTATGTAATGTCCCTTTAAATTCTTGATTAATGAATTTGGGACAGTCCTGGGAAATTTGAGACAGTCAGTAAGCCTGCTATCCAAATCTACCAATCTACTCACGCCATCTGCCAAGACGAGTCGTCCCTCGGCGTCGGTGTTGTTGATCTCCACGGTTCGTCCTGAGTACATGTGGACGATGTCGTCCGGCCGCTGGGACAGGGGGCCTACGGCGTTGTCGGCCAGGCAGAAAACTGCGTGTAGAGTCTCCGAGAACCCCTGCATTCAAGGGAAAACAATAAACGCAAATCAGTTTGAGTAAAGTCTTAATGAAAGTTTTACAGCACTTGCAAAATAATCATATAAGTGCCGAAAGTAAAAGGTGTCACAAAAGAACAAAATACAAAAAAGAGGAGAGATTATGATGATGGGTGTTTCACGAAAGAAGGATATAACCACACACTGTCTGCGTAGGACATAAAGGAACAAGGCACAGAGCCTGGAAAAGTTGCGTTTACATGAGACAAGAAAAAGAGGTCAAGTAAAATGACAACACTTTAGATATAATTTATCTGTAGTGACATAAAAACTGTTCACACACTTTTAAAATTATTTCTAGGGGAAACAAATCTTTACACATGAGCTGGAAAAATATTTTAAAATTAGGCGTTAAAGTATTTCCTTAAGAATCTCAGTCTTTGCCAATTACACTAAAAACATCATCGATAATCTGTTCAAATGTCCTTAAGAAGCTGCCAAAAAAAAGGATATATTTAAAATGTTGGGCTATGCACATCGAAACAGCTTAATGACTACATAAAAAATAGACCAATTTACCATAAAACCCTTCATAAATACACATGTGCACTGACCATCTTGACAGCAGTCTTGAAGGCTCCCAGCACAGCAGCAGCCCCGCCACAGTCTCGCTTCATGCCGCACATGCCGGTCTGTGGAGACAGTCAAGGCCACTACACTCAACATAATAGTCGATACTGTCAGAGATAACTGCTCGTTGGCAAGAACAAAGTGGTTGTCTTAGACAGGTCTTGTTTCAGTTTAGTTTAGTTAGAGTTTCATGGCACTTGCAACACAAACATGTCAGAGTGCCAAAAATAAAAAGTGTTATTACAGAGCAAGATACAGGGTTCCTGCCATGAACTTCCCACCAAATTCAAGGAGATTTCAAGGAGGTTTCAAGGAGAAATTTTAAAAATTCAAGGAGATTTGGTCAAGAAATTCATGACGAAAGCCTATTTCGGATAGGCCTAAACTTATCCGAAAGAAATCATAGTTTCGATTTTCCTACAAAAACTCTGTTCCAGGGTGACTACCACCCCGGCTTCTCAATTTTCCAGGGGGGCTCATCCATTTTTCCAGGGGCATGTTACATAACAATGACAGTGCATGCTCTATTTATATATTCTATATAATATACACACAGGCGTGCACATGCAGGTAACATCATATCCAGTCAAAAACATGTCAGTGTAGAACGGGGGTATTGCGTGACTAAGGTATTTCAGTCTGTTCTTTACTTAAAAAAATTTTTCCCTCTCATCATACTCGCACTATGTATATATATGTATAAAAAGTAATCTTGTTTTGAGCCTGAGAAAAGGCCTAGAGCCAGAATATCGACTGTCAAGAACCAGTTTGGGTGTCAAGGTATACATAATAAACGTAAAAGACAAACTCAAAGTAGAGTAATAACTTGAATGGCTCAAGTAGACCTATTCAGTGTGAGAGATGTGAGAATTGTGTGTGGGGGGGGGGCAAGAACAGGCAGTGACACTGAAAATCTGTGAATCTTGCACAGAAAGCTAAAATATAGAATATACAATACATGATGTAATTTACTATCACCCACAAAATGAAACGGGAACCCTTTAGTTTAAAATAAAACATGGCTTACAAGTTTTGAGTATGAGCATGACGGATCCCAATTCCATACAAACCCTGCATCAACGCGCGCTTTGCAGAGAGCTCTAGATCTAGTAGTAGTCAAAATTCAGAAAAGTAAAATCTGCTTCCAAGTTCAGTTATTGTAATCCGGTGTTGCTTTCAACCCCATCCCCCCTCCCCCGCGTGCGTCTTAAAAAAATAATCAATAATCCCCCTCATTCCCGAGTACTATACTTCGTAGCTCTCAGACTTGAATGAACTTTGGTGACCTCACGCCGATACTCACGATGTGATGCGAACGAACAGGTTCATTGACCAGTCATGATGGCGGGCCCGACAAGACGCTTGTATAACTTTCTTTTTCTTTCGATCTCTTTTTCCACAAGCGATAGCGCAGGACAAATGATTTATTTTCAGTGTCACAACGTTTGCAATGCACAACCTGCATGTTACAAATGTTACGTTATCACTATTATCAGACTACTACCGGCAGATTTCTGGGTGGTAACGAAAGCGAAAGTAGATCTTGATTTTCTCGATCGAGCTTCGGAGAGGGGCCCATCACTCATACCCTTCCGCTTGCTGCTATAACCGCCTGTCCGCGTGTAACGTACTCTCAGGCCGGGAAAAGTCAAATATCACAATCGCGACTGGCAAAAATGAACTCAAGGACGTTATCCGATTCGGTTTTCAAGTATTAGAAAAATGTATATATTTTCGCTGGTCTTTCTCGGGGCAATTTACAGGGATTTCTTCAAATTTGCCGGGCATTCCCTGGCCTCGGCGATTTTCTTTTTTCCAATTCCCCGGGGGGCCCCCCCGGGGCCTGGCAGTCACCCGTCTGTCCGATCTCGCAAAATTCAAGGAGTTTTCAAGGAGGTTCCTCAAATTCAAGGAGTTTTCAAGGAGATTTTTCCTTGAATGCAAATTCAAGGAGTTTTCAAGGACTCCTTGAATTCAAGGAGGCCGCGGGAACCCTGAAGATATAAAGAAAATAAGGAGGAGAAATAAGGATGATAGATGTATCAGCAAAATTTCTGCAAATGGTAAGAGCCATTCTTCATTTTTTTTAAATGTAAGAAGAAGGTTGCATTCACAAAAAAAAAGAGTAAAGAATGGCTCTATCACTGGTTAAAATTTTTTCAGTACGTTGGTTGGTCATAATTTAAAAAATACATTTGCATAGCACATTTCCACTAAGAAAGTACTGAATATACTTTAAATTAGTATAAAGTATAAAGAATACCATCTCGGAAAGTGCTCTGTGTAACTTTTCATCGAATGGCCCCCAGCACAGACTGGTATTATTTTTACCTTTGTCTTGATAGAGAGGCCGCCAGTGTCGAAGACGATGCCTTTGCCCACCCAGGCGATGGACTCCGTCGAGTCGGGCACGATGTGACTGAGGACAGCCAGGGCCGGGGGGACCGCCGCAGCCTTCCCGACACCGTAGATTCCTGCAGGTGGGGGTTAGATTGTTTAATTTTACATCAGCGATAACAGTTTACTTAAAACTTTTTCATCCTCTGTTGCCTTTAAGCGTCGAGGGGAGATGCAGTTTTCTATGGTAGGCTAGCCCTGCAGCTCTTTCAATTGGAATATTATAATTTCTGGGGGTTTCCTGGACTCCCTCAATCCATATTTTGCATGATCTACTTCTTCCTTTATAGCCTGTGTACTTGGTACATCATACGGATTGGCCCCCTGTACAGACTGGTGACAACAGCAAAGGGCTAAAAAGGAAATTTCAGTTTTAGTTAAAGTTTTGCCACACTTACAACACAAATAGGTCACACCAGGAATCTCAGGGTGGGTTGGGATAACTGAACTACACATTACTTTAAATCGCTACCATGGTATTTTCGTAAACTAAAAAAATAATAATAATAGCGATTTACCCAAATTTGCTACAATGGGCAGCCCTGTAAATATATATGAATTAGGCTAAAACATACCTCCAAATCCTTGATGAATTAAGTCTTCTCCAGAAATTATTTTCGGAGTTATTCCTAGCTCTTTGCCAACTTCTCGAATCTCCTGCAGAGAACAGAAAGTTTGGGACCAGTTGAAAGATGACAAAGAAAATCCAAATTGTATTTAGACACTGAAAAGAAAAGAATAACTACTATTTGTGTTGGAACAATATACTCAAAATGAGCAATGCTATATATACATCAACTCAGAATAAGGATACATAGTTGCTGCCCTAGCAAAATGGCAGAGCTCATTTTTGCTACTTTTGAGATAAATGGTGGTAAAAAAAACAACTGTTTAACTACCCAGTTATCATCTAATACAGTAGAACATGACTGTAGCGGCACCTGCTACAGTGGGACCTTACTGGGATCCCTGTTTTTTTTTCTATGTTAACACAAATTATCTGTGCTCAGGTTTAGTGGGGCAAGGAAAGACCCAAAGTCAGATACAGCGGGAGAGATCGAGCGAGTTCTAGCTGGGGGGAAGGGTTTTGGGGGTGGGGGGCTGTAGGTGGGCTCCAAACAGGCAGTCTGCGGTGCACATTATGATTGGCCAGTACAGTGATTAGTGAGATGGGGCAGGCGCCACAGAGATGGTGCGGAGAAACGCATTACTTGAGCCTCTCCAAAAGTGATGTGCCGTTGCTTAAATGCTCAGTATGAGAGGCAATAGCACAAGGCTAGGCCAAAAATAAAAGAAGAGGAGAGCGTGTAGTGTGTGATTCCTGATTCATTGAATTTTGATTGTTGATGCTTCTAAGAAAGACAAAAGGAAATGCTTCTCACTTGAATTAAAGGCCGAGATAATCAACGAAGTCGACAATAAAAGGAAGACTAAAGCGCAAATTTTATTGATGTAGAAGGGAGGTAATCATGTGGATTGTTAAAAAATTTCAGGTTATTTCCCCTTTGCATTCCTATATCGGGAATTCGCCAACAGCGGGATTTTTCTTCTGCAACCAAAAGTCCAGCTGTAGCCGTGTTCTACTGAAATGGTAAAACTTGCCACGTACGTTTCTTTTCTGACTGCCAGCGCATTTTTGTTTTGGATTTTCCAAACAAAATAAAAGGCTAGTTGCATTTTGGTACAACTCTATGCAATTCTGCTAGTGCAGTGATGACATGATAAAGCATCTGAAATACTGCATCCAGTGAGAGATAGTATTTGACAGTAGAAACACTTCAACAATCTAATCAGGCAGCACTGAAATGCTGTACAAAATCTCCCCAAGACACCGACCTGCAGAAAGTTGTCCACACTCATGTCGCTGCACGGAGTGTCCACAATGCTGGCTGCCAACCTCAGGCTCGTGGCTGCCACAGACATACACTCCAGCTCCTCGTCTGTGAGGAAAATCCTGCGCTCTTCATCCAGCACTAGAAACTCCACTGTCACCTGTCAAATAAATAATAATAATAATAATATATAAATAATGATAATATAATGATATATATAACACTAATAGTGTGCTTAATCCAAATTTAAAAATACCTGCTTTACAAATATAGCAGCAACACATAAACAATACATTGTGCTAAAACTAAATTGTTTAAATCATAAGCTTCTGACACATGTTAAAGAAAGACAAAAAGCAAGAAGACCACTAGCACTCACTTTCCTGGAAAGGCTGTGGGACCCAGACTTTGCAGTGAACAGAGGAAGGGCTCTCGCTACAGCAAGTCCAGAGGCGTACACGTTCTCGCGTTCACACACAATCTGTACAATATAAAAAATATGTTTGTGATGAAAATAACATAAGAATTACACGGATAATCTATGCATGTGGACATGTAGAAAACAGTAGTTATTAATGTGTGTGTGGGGGTGGGGGGGGGTGGGGGGGGGGTGTTGGTTTTACTTTTAGTAAAAAATCAGACAGCACTGTAACAAAATAAGGTAATAAAAGTGCCAAAGATTAGAGGTTTTACTAGAGAGTAACATACAAAGATGAGACGGAGGAAAGATAAGGACAATGGATGGACATTTGACTGGAAAGATGGAGCAAAACCACACTAGAGCACCTGACAACCACTCACAAACCAAGTCTAAGAAGCTTACTTTACAGAGACTAGACAAAAAGTTTTGGTTATTATAATTTCACTCTATTCCATTTTATAAAAAGAAGCCATTTCATGTCTTTTTATAAAACCTATGCTATTTAAAAATGTTGTTTTTGCTTTAGGGTGCACATTAATTAAACACATCAGGCCCTGTCACTGTAGTCATATCTACAGTTCTTATCTCCATAAAAAAAAAACAACACTTAAAATATTTTTGGGTCCCCTGACTTTTTTTTTTGGCAAGTATTTTACGGTGCTCGCAACTGCATAAGGTCAAATGAGCGTGCGGTACACATTTAACTTTTCCAGTTCTTAGGAAATTTTGAATTTTGCCCGGGTGGCGGCCAAAGCCTACTCTTATCGATTTTAGACCACCAAGCAATCTTTAACGTGAGCAACTTGCACACCGGCCCTCCGAGATTTTTTGCCCTTGTCCGAGAAGGCTAGGTGTAGACCTTTCCTACCAGAAGATCAGGGGTGTGGCTGAAAGACAGCAGTAAGAAGGATGGAGTAGCAGCAGAAAGAGTCAGGATCCCAGAAGAGGAGGCAAAGGAGGTGAGGGGGGTAGGGGCAGAAAGAGGAGACAAAAGCAGATGACAGAACATTGCTAGAGAGCAGGAAAGGAGGTGAAAGGAGACAATTTTAGAGAAGATTTTTCAGTTGCTACCCGGATTTAAACCCGGGACCTTTGAATGAGAGGCCAACACCTTAACCTCTAGGCCAATAGAGCCCCCTCCCCTGACTTTGACATTCAGGTCTCCTCCATTGAGCATTGTAAATTATGGGATTGCACAACATGGATGTCATGTATTATTATCATTCATTCTTCTTCTTCTTACTAATATTTTCATACACTCCGGCCAGCCTCACCACAATATACTCTTGACCACCAGCTAGACAGCTCTTGACCAGACGAGTTAGGGCATGGCATCGCGACGGTGTGTTGTGCCGGCTGCACTTGAGGGGCAGAGCAGCCACGGTGGCGCTGTTGAGCCACAGCGAGCACTGGTCCGTGGGGGATGGGTGCAGACTGTTGATGCAGATGCTGAAAGTCTGAAAAAAAAATAAAAATGGTGATATGGTATAGGTTTAATGTCTATCAACACGGTTAGGTTATTTAAGATGTGGGACATTTACGTTTAACATTCATCCCCGAAAGGACCAAGCAAAATAGGAAATTTGTGTAAAGTGCCTTTCCCAAGGACATAACATTGGACTGAGCTGAGAGTGAATGTTTGCATTCACAAAACAAAACAAAAAACAAAAAAAGAAGGAAAAAATCCCCCACAAACCCCCCCCCCCCCCCTCAAAATATGAAATAAAATTTTTGTTGCTATAAATGTTGGTGTTTCTACAACGACATAGAATTTAGATCCGAGAGAAAGAAGTTTACGTTATGAAAATGAAACAAATATTTCATTGTCATATTGCTCAATAGTAGCCACCAAAATGTGGCAAATCAATTCACAGGATTAATCTTTGTTAAAAAATTCCAAATTTAGCAACCCATAGCCCAACCTTGGAATCTTAACCCAAGCACATACCATAGATTCAGAAAGTCCTAAATAATAAAACTTGCTGAAATGAAAAAAGAAAAAGGTCAACAGTCTTAACTTTCTCTTCTTCATCATCATCAAGAGCAAGACCTGCAACAGATATCGTTGCCATTCATTCCTTTGCTCAGATCTAAACTTTGTGGCTCTCGAAGAAACATGCATGGGGGAACTCAAAATTTACAGTTCACATTGGTCTAATTCATCATGTATCAATAAGTCAGGCAAAATGCGGACAATGTCAGAAATCTGGTCTGGATTTCTAGATTTATCAAGAAAATCGGCACATCTGCAATCAACATACTTAATGCTTAACAACATCATCTCGAACAAAAAAAAAAAATGTAAATGCGGAGCAAAGACACGAGATCTAAACCACAAGAAAAGGTACATCCATTATGTGTACTGCTATTAAAGTGAAAGGACTTACCTCAGCATCAACTCTGCCTCCAAACTTGCATTGAACATCCTCATACCTCAACTTTCCCAGATGTTTCAGCTGGCCAATGATCAGCACAGCATTGTCATAAGGGTCTGCTGGCTTTAGCGAGGCAGAAAACTCAAGAGCAGCCATGCCTGAAACATACCAAAAAAATTTGTAGTTCTGCAACAAAATTTGGTCAATAAAAGCTGCATATTAGAGGCATTACTTAGAAAGTTAAACACAAAGAAAAGAAGGATGTATTGAGCAAATTTTCACTCAACAGTAAGTTCTATGCATGCACTTTATAATCTAAACTATTACCCCAGCAGACCTGACAGCATTCTAAAACAATCTTAACTCCCACGGAAGCATACGATGAAAGCTGCCATTTATAGGCGCTAAAACACAAAAGTTACTGACGAATTCTTCAGCCAGTACCAATACTTACCAGGGTGAAGTGAGAAAAATTAGAGTAAAGTGTCTCTCTATGACATCTCTAACCCCTACACCCTCACGATTAAAAGTCCAGCAGCGTTACCACAAGACTACTAAAATGGGATGTGGCCAGTTGTGCTGCATGATTGTATTATAATATTATAGGTGGCTGTTGGAGTAGGTGTTTGACTGTAGACTATTATCTAAGGCCTTTGGACAATTCACAGTTCTCCAGGTTAGCCTTGATCAAATCTCTTACTCTACTATAACTATTTAAAGGTAAAAAATACTAAAAGTAAAAAGAGCCATGTTCTCTAAGCTTAGCATAAAAGACACTTTAGTCACTAGCAGTCAAAGAAAAGCAGGCCTGCTCAGGAAAACTTTATTTGATACTTAACATCCGGTTTCCATTGCTAGTTTACTTGTCTTGGGGTTTGCTGGTCAGCTCGGTTGTAACCCTACTGTCCATAGTTCATGCATATAAAGGCCCTCCATGAGGTTCCAATCCCACAGCTATTTTGTCCCTGGAGCCCTTCAGTGTATCGATCAAACAAATATGCATGCTGCTTTAAAGATTGAGGTGTACGTATATGAGCCATTGCCAAAACGTGGGGAAAAACACACACATCTCACAATAGTGTGCATAAAATGTGATGCATTAGTATTTATTCCTCCAAAACTTATACACATGTCAAATATAGGATGTAGAACCTGCATTAGCAGTTTCAGACCCTATGTCAGCTTTATAATCTTGAGTTTGTAAATTTTGTGCCAAAAATGTTCGTTTTTTAGTGATTCCTGGAGTGTCATTTTGAGCCCACCAATGCAAACTTCCAAGAATGTCAAAAATTTAGTATTTTTGGGTGTTTTTTTTAAACCTGTGCTTTGATTCTATGCTATTTGTGATCGAGAAAGGTTCACTTGCTCAAGAAATCGGTTTATTTGTTTGCAAATAAACGAATAATTCGGATCACTTGTGCGTCAGTGGTGTCGTCATGGACTAGGTGTTTCAGAAAACACCATTATTTTTCAGTAGAATCACCACAGCTGGTTAAATCTTTTTGCTTTTCATCGTTTATTCAATAATTCAAAAGCCGCGATGCGCGAAAGGAACATCGGGTTCCTAGATCTACGATTTCGGTCGGCTGTTTAACATTCGCCGTTAATGGTGTCAATTTGCGACGCACCGGAAGTCCGAATTTTAGCCTACTTTTGTTTTGAACGGATCATCAACAGTGCCCGGATATAATTGTTTTCTTGAGTGACTTCCCCTTACCCTCTTCCCCAGAACAGCGGGAGCAACAGGGTAAAGAGAAAAACTAAAGTAGTCATTGCCGTCACCCTCCGGTTACGCACAAGAATCTTGCCTTGAATGTGACGTACTGGACTGTTTTGCGTGTTTTTAGGCTACTCTGTTGAATATTTTAGTGAACTTGTGGTGTTTACATTGGATTCCTGGAACAAGAGTGTGATGGGTGAACAAACTTCGAGAGATGGATCATTTCTGTGGTTATAGATTTAGCTTTTGTGCTTAGTGATGACGTTTGGGGTGTCGTCATGCAGCCGTACAAGACTGACCGACGTACTAGAAATTACATTGTCCTAAGAGCAAACATTTTTAAAGTCATGTGTGCTCTTTTTACTCAAACAAATAGACAAACATGTCCTTGTTTATCTGTCTAACTCAAAAGTACACATTTGCTCTTTGTTGGCATGATATGCCTTTTTCCAATACATTGTGTCATCATTGTTATGTACAAGTAATATTTTTCATAATTGCTAATATCAATAAGTTTTCAAAATATATTTCATACACATGCAAGATTCATTTAGAAACAAAATACGCCTTTATTGATCTGTGTATCTCATAGTGCAAATTTGTTCTTTGTAGGCATGATTTTACCTTTTCCCAGTATGTTTTGTCATCACTGTTATGTACGAGTACTCTTTGTCATAATTAGCAACGTAATTGTGATTGTCTACTGTCTTTGATATGACCTGGTATCTGTTTCAAAGCAAAAGAAACCTCTCCTGGGTTTTTTTATTCTTAAAGTGCGTTTTTCTCTATGGAGGCAAGACTTTTGTCTTTTCCTGTACATTGTGTCATCATTGTTATGTACAAGTCATGTTTGTCATCACTGTTATGTACAGGTCAGCTCAATTGATTTTGTGCTTTTGCCTCATATTAGTTTAAAAATTGTTTTACACATGTGTTTTTCTGGTACTGAGGCTTTGATAACTGTATTTGTACAGCCTTTCACTATGTGATGTGTTGTTAATGATAATGTTCAATGTGTATCCTTTCTTGTACATAACAATGATGACATGTTCTGTGCACTGCCTCGTTTTTACAAAGCTTGTCATTCATATTACCATTATGAATGGAGTTCATAGTGTACGAAATCTTTGTTTACTAAACAAATGGAATTTAAAGTCCATAATTTGCCTTGCTGCTTATCTGTTTTTGTCATCACTGTTACATACAAGAAATACAGTAGTTGCCAAACCAATAGACCCATATCTCCAAAACCGTACGTCTCCTTGCTCTGATACTCTAGGAATATGAGCACTAAATGTCAATCTGTGACTGACAGAAAAGAGAGTCAAATTGGTAAGAAAATTTTTTTTGCACCACTGAGTCTTAAGAGAGTCTCACGTTTTGGCAATTGCTCATATATATTAAAAAAATATTAGGGGTAGGGTTAGGAGTTAGGTGACAACGGTGAACTTAATCAAACCCTTCCCTAATCTTAATCCAAATCTAGCAAACGTGAACAGAAAGTGCAGATCTAGAAAATTGCCTGCTTCTCTCACATATTTTTTTTTCTACCTGCCTAATTATCATGGCATGGCCATCTCATTGTAAATTGGTAAGAAACAAGATACTAGCACTAGCATGGACCACGGATTGATAGTGAGGTGGCTCATCATCTGAGTCATCACTTCCATTATGTTTCCATAAAATGCATGCTTGAAAGTATCTAGGAGTTTTCCTTCTAATCCACAGTACGCATTTCCCAAATATTTGACCAAGTTTACTATTATTTCTAATGGTCTGCTGGGACGGTAACCGGTCATTTCGTCACTCGGTCTCTTGTCACATCCCAATTATGTGTGACGAAATGACTTTGCTTATATATCTCTCCAAAATTGATATGCTTGTAGGGTTTTGGAGGATCAGCCTAAAGCTTTTTTGAAGTCATATAAATTATTAAGGTAAATTAAATCTTCGTCCCAAATGTTCCATAGTTGAGCAATAGTTTAAAAAGGCAAAAACTGTCTGGTAAAGAGGCTTTGTGTGAAATTAAGGATCTATAATATATCTTTTAGCAAAATTGCAGTACTGTACATTTCAATTAGTTAATTTATGTTTAACCATTATATCTGTACGCCCTGGGGTCATTTTGTACCCCCGGGGTTGTATTTTTTTCTTCTAAGAATACTTCTAGTATGAAGATCTCTTTGAAACTTTCAGTATATCTAAAAAAATTATTTTGCCAAACTGCTAAGCAAAGCGTACGGATCGGATTAATGAGTAAATGTCCCCTTTGGAAAGTGGTGGCACACAGTTCCCCACGTCGTATGGATACGATAGTAAAACACGACGTACGGATAGCAGAGATGCCAACCACAGAAAACTGAAATGAGTATTAGGAAATAAGAAAATTGTATTTTCAGGGGAAAATGTGTATTCCCCACGACCGACCGACCAACTAGTAAAATGTTCAGGGTGTCCAGCAATATTTCCTGAAAAAAAAATAACTAGCTCACCAGCTCGAAGAAGGGAGCACACACGCGTACAATATTCATGTATCCAGTCAACAACTTGTTAGTGTTCAGTGTCGTATTGGGGTCTTGTTTGACTTAAGTATTTCAATCTATTATAATATTTTCCTCTCATTAATTTATTGTATAAAAAATTAATCCTGCTTTGAGCATTCGGAAGGGCCTAGAACAAGAACTTCAACTATCAAGAACCACTCTGAGTGTCATGATTCATGTTATGTACTGACAGACTAAAATTATTGCTCAAACTCAGAGAAGAGCAATAACTTGAATGGCTAAAGTAGACCCACACAGTGTGACGAGTTGTAACAACTGTGGGAGAGCAAGATGTAGTGACATTGAAAATCTGCCAGTCTTGAACAGAAAGCTACAACATACACTGTAGGTATAATTTACTATCACCCATCCAATGAAACGCGAACAACAACAAGTATGAAGGGTCCTGATTCCGCACACGGCCTGCACCAACGCGCGCGTTGCAGAAGCTCTAATAAATATTGAAATTGCTTCCAAGTTCTTGTCCTCTGGTGTTGCCTTCACCCCTACCCCCCCCCCCCCAGCCTCCCAGTGTATCTTTATAAAAAAAAAATCAATAACCCTCTCCCCTATTCTGTAGTCCTATACTTCGCCACGTCGTCACTCCCACCAAAGATGGTCTTTGCTCACACGATGCCGTATTTTTATGCGAGGCCATTTTTATGATGCGAATGCATGCAGGGTCACTGACCGGTCACGATGGCGAGCCAGACAATCTAAAAATTGGACAACGCTTGTATTTTCTTCTCTTTTTATTCCAGAAGTGACAGCACAGATACGAGTCTGAGTATTGATTAAATTTTATTTGCACGGCGACACAGCGTTTAGATCTATACTGCACAACCAGCATGTCACAAATGTTGTGTTATCAGACTAGGCCTACTGCTGGCAAACT